GTAAGGAATCGTTCTTTTGCTTGTATTACTCTTGCATTACGAAATAATATGTTGTGTACGATTTCTTTATCAACAGTGCTACTTGCATATGATTGAAACACACAAAAGTGCATAGAAAGTGCACTGTGTGATTTAGATTTATTTTAAATATAACCCATGTAATACTCAACATGAATCTTAGTTACACATTATACTTTGTGTGTTTTATGTGTCAGGATTTTGTGCAACTATCAATTCTTTCTATATACTGGTAAATTATATACGGTACACAAGTAGGACAACCATCTGGTTTTATCCCAATGGCTAGGATTAGTGTTCCTCATTAGGGGGTCACGTGTTCGACTTTCTATTTGCTCTAATGTACCCAAAAAAAGTATCCGAATGACTCAAAACAATGTTTTAATTTTTGGCAATGTTGTGCTGCAGGGGCCAGAGCTTTCCTCTTCCGTTCGTTACCTATACAAAAATTCCATTCGGGCTCTATGTAATGCAAACACCTCGGAAGGATTCAACCCCTCGAAAGACGTATCATTTCCAGAAATCCTTCTCCCGGATGGCACGACAAATCGCTTACTTGGAGGTCCATCCCCTTCGCGACGCCCAATCTTGGCTTTCTTCGCTGGAGGGGTCCATGGCCCAATTAGGCCAATTCTTCTCTATCATTTGGAAAACAAGGACGAAGATGTACAAGTTCACAAGTACCTTCCCAAGGGTGTTTCATATCATGGGATGATGCGAAAAAGCAAGTACTGCATTTGCGCAAGCGGTTATGAAGTAGCAAGCCCACGAATGGTCGAGGCACTCTACATGGGTTGTGTTCCAGTACTCATAAAGGACCACTACGTGGCACCATTTAGTGATGTTCTAAACTGGAAGTCGTTCTCGGTTGAGGTTTCGGTGAAGGACATTCCGAACCTTAAGACTATTTTAATGGGAATTTCTCAGAGGCAGTATATAAGGTTGCAGAGGAGAGGGCTGCACGTAAGGAGGCACTTTGAGGTTAACTTGCCTCTGAAGCGGTTTGACGTGTTCCACATGATACTTCATTCGATCTGGCTTCGAAGACTGAATGTTCGCATTCGTGACTTCGAAGAATCATGAATATCGTGCGATGAATTGAATTGAACTACCTGTCACTTCGGATTCGTTGAGGAAGGGGGCCAAGTAAGTTGCGTAGAGTAACTTGTGTTGATTTATGAAATTTGTGCAATTATATTTATTTTTCAGAAATTAGTTTAGCATTTTAGGCAATAATGTATGATGTTCACTTATTTTGTTTTTTATTGGTGGAAAGAGGACTAATTATTAGATAATGCTCAGTTAAGCAACAATATTATGTCCTTCAATCTTTGTGTGCTCAGTTAAGCAACAATATTATTTCCTTTAGTCACTTTTATTTTTATTTTTTGTAGATGAAGTCATTGTGTGTGCTCTGGTCAATCCCATTAAAACTGATTTAGTTGGTAATGGTGTCATGTTTTGACCTAAAATTATTTTCATCAACACAATTGTTTAGTGGTTGGAGCAATGTGATGTTTGTGATAGTTTTTCTTGCAAAAATGTTTAATAGCTCTAAATTAGGAGCTCTAGGGGAGCTGTAATTTGTCTTTTTTCTCATGATGATTTGTCTTCTTGGTGTTCAATTTATTTTGTTTGTTACACTTTGAACTTGTAGCTTATGGCTTCATTCTATTTTTGGATTTTGTATCCTACTTCCAGTTTATGAGGTAAAAATTGCGGTAAAAATAACAAAATATATTATTGTGAAAGTTTTGCTGATTCCATTAAGTGAGCACTGACTAAATATTGGCAACAAAGGATAAGTTTCTCCAGATGTTAGAGATTGGAATAATATTCTCATTACCATATCAAGATTTATGAAAATTTTCTCTCTTTTTTTTTTTTTTTTTTTTTTTTTCCTGAGTTTTTGACTTGTAGTACAAAAATTCATTTTGTTTTTACCATACCATCCCATGGCACATGTTGATTTGACATGATTCTTTTATACCAGTTTTTGGTCATATCATAGTATTTACACTTCAAAAGCAAAATTGACTTTACCAAACTTGAAGCTGAATCTGCCAAACCTTGTAAGTTTGGAGTTTCTCTATAACAAGCTCAATTATAGTTTTGACATTGTAATGACCACTAGAGTTGCCGTGAGTCTATAAGATGGAGATGTTATACAAATTAATGATTTAATAATTATTATTTTTATTTATGAATGTGACATACAATAATAAAATTTGGTATTTGAAACATGATCTATAATAATAATTTGAAAGTATATTACATTAATCAATAAAAAAAATTATAACATTTATTAATTTATGTAATATTACTTGTATAAAAAGTAATTTGAAAAAATTATACTAATTTAGCTTCGGCCACCCTATGAGACAAAATAAAAAAATAAGTAATCATTGGTGAAAAAGTGAAGATATGTAGACGAGGGTGCGAGCATGTCCTGCAGGAATCCCCATGCGAACATTTATATGCAATTAATTAGTGGGATTTGGGATGGTTGCTGTGCAGGTGCACAGCAGTTACTGTTGTGTAGTCAAATAGGTCAATTTTGATAATTTTAACCGTTCACATTTTAGAATACATCAAGTAGAAGATACACAAATTAATCGGATATCGTTTACCCATTCATCCACTCATATTTGTATTTATTTTAATACTTTAGATTACAATTGTTATTTATTTTTGTATATATAAATGTGAGTAGATGAATGGGTAAACGATATCCGATTAACTTATTTTTTTACAGGTATGTTATACTTGATGTATTCTAAAATGTGAACGGTTCAGATTATCAAAATGAGTCCCGAAATGGGGTCATTTGGTTGCACAACAGTGATTACTGTGCACCACGCACAGCAACCACCCCAAATCGTAATTTAGTGACCTACTGTTTGCACACCCTAATAATTAAATTAAGTTATGCTCTTATTGTCATTATACAAACATTAAAATGCCATACTCAATGATTACCGTCTATGACCACCAAGGTTGGTGGCCTGGTGGAAGGACGCAGCATGTTCCCCAGCCGAGACCCAGGTTCGATTCCTGGGAGGGGGCTGTTTGTTATCTCTACGGAGAGCTCGCCCTTTACTCCCCTGGTTCCTGGGCTCTGCTGCGGCGTGTGTCTGCCCTCCACTGGTGCCCTGGTGGTGGGTCCCTCACTTGGTGAGGGTTAATTCCTGGCTGACAACCGGTTACCCCGGGGCCAGGGCCCACAGGGGCCATGATGACACCACAGAGCCCTTTTCATTTTGTGTTCAAAAAAAAAAAAAAAAAAAATGATTACCGTCTATGCAACGGACTGAAACTTAAATTTGGACGGATCCCTTAATATTTGAAGTTGGGCTTAAATAGACTCTCAATTTGATTGAATCTACCTAAATTACCGTGGTTGATCCAACACATGGTCAATATTGATTATGAATGAACCATTGCTTTCTATATATATGATCAAAGCTTAAAAATTCATTTTTAATTGTCACGCTTATATTTACTTTTTATTGTATATATATATATATATATGTATGCCATCAAACAATTGAGTGCAATCTTATAATTTTTTATCAAATATCATATGTCATAGCAAATGAGACTGTTGGCTCTTGGATATATCAATTAACATTCGTAAAGAAAAATATGTATACATGGTGTTTGTTGTGTAAATGAGAATAAATTTAAAAAAAAAAACTAAAATTAATCCAATAACAAATATAATTTTGAAAAATAATTTTGCAAAAGGGAAAGATTGTGAAAAAAATAATTGCAAAACTAGTAAGATGGTTTGTAATTTTAGAGAGAGTGAAACTAGTTAATGAAAAATTATTAGGTACTTCCGGACCCACTTAATAGACCAAATAAAAGGAGCATAAACATTATTTTCCAAATCCATGATTGCCAATTAACACTATCATGAGTTAAGTACTCTCATCCCCTAACAAAGGGATCTAGTGTCACACTACAACAATTTTCACATTTGTCAAAAGTGAATTTTTAGTCACTGAAGGGCTTTAGCGACTAATTTTTTTGGTCGCAAAATTAGTAGCCGAAGAGTAGTCGGGAAAGCTAATTGGCGACCAAAATTAATTTAGTCGCCAAAAGGTTGGACATTAAATTAATAGACCCCTCTCGGCGACCAAACTTTTGGTCGCCTAAAGTCCCACCTTTTAGCTACTAAAATTTTAACCGACAAAGAGTTCATTTTTAGCTACTAAAAATTTAGTCGTCGAAAGTCCTCATCTTTGGCTACTAAATGTTTAGTCAGCAAAGAGTTCGCTTTTGGTTACTAAATATTTAGTCGCCTAAAGTTCTACATTTTTTGTTATTAAAATTTTAGTCCGCAAAAGTGTGTTTATAATTTAGTTTTGTTTTTAGCTACAAAATATTTTAGTGGTTAAATGTTTGATTTTCTTTTGGCTACTAAAGTTTTAGTCGCCAAATGTCATTTTTTTTTTTTTTTTGGCTACTAAACTTTTAGTCACTAAATGTCTTTTTTTTTTTTTTTTTTTTTATACAAAACGTTTAGTCACCAAATGTCTTTTTTTTTTTTTTGCTACAAAATTTTTAGTCGCCAAATGTCTTTTCCCAATTTCTTTTTAGCTATTAATTGTTTAGTCGCCAAAAACATGATATTATGTTTTATTGCGAAATTATTATTTCTCCACAATCTGTCTATATACAATGCAACCTGTAATACGTATAAAAACAAAATAATACATACTATCAATCATTCTACAATTTGCATCTATATACCAAAAATAAATAACATTAAATATCAAAGTCCATACAAATCAACTATTGTCCAAACTAAAATAATAATTCCATACAAAATATGTCATAAAAATCAAAGCCCTCTGTATACAAAAAAATACATTTACTATCAAGCAAAATTACCATTTGGCATGGTATAAATTGCCATCGTAATCTGTACCACAACAAAAGGTGATATATGTACCACGACAGTCATTATTTGTTGATTGCCAAAAGTTTTCTGTATCAGTAATAATGAACTACACAAAAACTGAGGACGACAAAAGTATTATATTAGTTCTACACAAAAGTGAAAATTCTTCTCCATACACCAATATGGATTATCCATAAGTCTACGCAACAAAACCATCTACAAAGAAAAACAAAAAACGAAACATTAGAGTTGGTTACAAAATAACAATTCAGTCAGCCATATGGAACATGTTCTAACATGCATTTAAGGTAGAACAATCGAGAAATGTCTTCTTGGAAATAAAAGAAAGTATATATATATATATATGTATCATGCAATATTTATTCCAACCAACAGCACAAACAATATAATATGTAATTTCTTTGTCCTATAAATATATAAAAGCAATTATTAGAATATGTAGATGTTATTTTAATAAATTTGTTGCTTTTTTAACTAAGTGTTGCAAGTTTTTTGACTAAGTGTAAGGGTTATGAATTTTCGCCCCCAGAAAACCCTTTTTCGAGTAAGTGTAGGGCGTATTCGGCTCCAAGTCCCAACCTACGGGTCCGAACAACGTTTCGTCAGATCTCACAAGTCCTATTAGCCATGGCAAATTTATCCGTGTGAGACACATGGTCATTCGGGGGCTGTTTTGATTTTTCGACCCCGAAATGCTCTTTTTCGACTAAGTTTAGGGGGTATTCGGCTCTAACTCCCAACTTACGGGTCCGAATTACGTTCCGTCAATTCTCACAAGTCCTATTTGTCATGGCGAAACTATCCGTGTGAAACACACAGTCGTTCGGGGGTTGTTTTGATTTTTCGCCCCCGAAACGCCCTTTTTCGACTGAGTTTAGTATTCGGCTCTAACTCCCAACCTACAGGTTCGAATTACGTTCCGCCAATTCTCACAAGTCCTATTTGTCATGGGGGAACTGTCTGTGTGAACCACACGGTGGTTCGGGGGCTGTTATGAATTTTCGCCCTCGGAAAGCCCTTTTCCGAGTAAGTTTAGGGCGTATTCGGCTTTAACTTCCAACCTACGGGTCCGAATTACGTTCCATCAATTCTCACAAGTCCTATTTGTCATGGCGAAGCTATCCGCGTGAGACACACGGTCGTTCGGGGGCTGTTTTGATTTTTCACCCCCGAAACGTCCTTTTTCGACTAAGTTTAGGGGGTATTCGGCTCTAACTCCCAACCTGCGGGTTCGAATTACGTTCCGCCAATTCTCACAAGTCCTATTTGTCATGGGGGAACTATCCGTGTGAACCACACAGTGGTTCGGGGGCTGTTTTGATTTTTCGCCCCTAAAACGCCATTTTTCGACTAAGTTTCGGGCGTATTTGGCTCTAACTCCCAACCTACGGGTCCGAATTGCGTTCCGTCAATTCTTACAAGCCCTATTTGTCGTGGAGAAGCTATCCGTGTGAGACACACGGTGGTTCGGGGGCTGTTTTGATTTTTTGCCCCCGAAACGCCCTTTTTCGACTAAGTTTAGGGGGTATTTGGCTCTAACTCCCAACCTACGGGTCCGAATTACGTTCCGCCAATTCTCACAAGTCCTATTTGTCATGGGGGAACTGCCCGTGTGAACCACACGGTGGTTCGGGGGCTGTTATGAATTTTCGCCTCCGGAAAGCCCTTTTTCGAGTAAGTTTAGGGGGTATTCGGCTCTAACTCCCAACCTACAGGTCCGAATTACGTTCCATCAATTCTCACAAGTCCTATTTGTCATGGCGAAGCTATCCGTGTGAGACACACGGTCGTTCAGGGACTGTTTTGATTTTTCGCCCCCGAAACGCCTTTTTTCGACTAAGTTTAGGGGGGTATTCGGCTCTAACTCTCAACCTACGGGTCCGAATTACGTTCCTCCAATTCTCATAAGTCCTATTTGTCATGGGGGAACTGTCCGTGTGAACCACACAGTGGTTTGGGGGCTGTTTTGATTTTTCGTCCCTAAAACGCCTTTTTTCGGCTAAGTTTAGGGCATATTTGGCTCTAACTCCCAACCTACAGGTCTGAATTGCGTTCCGTCAATTTTCACAACTCCTATTTGTCATGGCGAAGCTATCCGTGTGAGACACACAGTCGTTCGGCGGCTGTTTTGATTTTTCGCCCTCGAAACGCCCTTTTTCAACTAAGTTTAGGAGGTATTCGGCTCTAACTCCCAACCTACGGGTCCGAATTACGTTCTGCCAATTCTCACAAGTCCTATTTGTTATGGGGGAACTGTCCGTGTGAACCACACGGTGGTTCAGGGGTTGTTTTGATTTTTTGCCGCTGAAACGCCCTTTTTCGACTAAGTTTAGGGTATATTCGGCTCTAATTCCCAACCTACGGGTCCGAATTGCGCCCCGTCAATTCTCACAAGTCCTATTTGTCATGGCGAAGTTATCCGTGTGAGCACTTGGGCTTGTTTAACCCCCTACATTTTGGACACAATCATTGCTTGGTCAACAAGTTGACTCTTCACTAATAAATTGGGTATTGCATTATTTAATTACTGTCGCTTAATTAAACTCCGTGTTGGTTTTACCGTCACCAACACCATATCAGCACAATGCCTTCCTTTAATTAACCTAATAAATAACATTATGTAATTAAACCAAAGAAGCCCAAAATGAATCAAAAGCCCACAAATCAGGTTAAAGAAGATGACTGTTAATTATGCTGCTGTATTTAATTCAGCTAGAACCTGATAATTATTTCAAACATTAGAGTTATGTTGGTCAATATGTCAAATGTTAAGTCTTCATTTCCATTTTGTCTCCTTAACTTTTGCATCAACAAAGGGTATTTTCCATAAATTGATGGTAAAAGACAATGAAACATTCTAGTTTATGATCAAAACGACCTACCAAACGAAGTAGTGAAGTACAGAAGACAATAAAACAAAGGGAAACAAACTCAATTAAACACTCACCAAAACTCTTGCAGCCAAGGCTTTAGAGGGGCCTCTGTTTGCAAGTGTGGTCAGAGCTACCTCTGCTGCAGCATGTTCTGCTTGCCTCAAGGTAGAACAGAACGTGTGGCTTTCAAATGTCTCGCCATTAAAGTTGACAGTGGCTTTAAATCTGGGGGCATGATCTGGACCTTCTCGAATACATGAATAAGACGGCAGGTTGAAGCAGCTTCTCTAAGCCAATTCTTGTAATTGGTTTTTATACATGCCTATATATGATATGCTACCATAAATTAATCAAGTCAACTTTCGTGTACTTAAAGAGAGAAATAGAACAATAAAGATGAAGCTCCTTTATTATGTTAAAACACAATTATGCACCTGGCTAGAAAATTTGAGCACATTTCTCTGCCAACTTAATGACAGCATTAATAAAAGCAACAAAATATCATGTTTAAAATCCTTCCAGGAAGTTTACCCAAGAAAGATGATGAAAAAAAGATCAACTTATTTTACTAATAGAAAGCAAAAACTACATTTTAGATTATCATTTGTTTGAGCAGATATACAACCAGTCACAATGAGAAAAGCACAAAAACATTCTTCACTTGAAGTTTGAAAAAAAGCAAGTCCAACACACCATTCATGTTTTCGCATAAAAAGGCCAAATCCCAAACGACCCCTAAATTTCTCGTGTTTGTTTAGGATAATTCAAAAACTGTTCCAGTGAAGTTCAAACTTGTTTTTGGGTGGCTAGCATACTGTTAAACCAGCCCATAGTTGGTATCAACTTTAAGCAAAGACTATATCTTCCATCCAAATTTGGTCTGAAAGGCATAATGTGCTAACCAAACACTTGAGTCACATCCAACCTTAGCTGATATGTTTCAAGATCTTTTAAGAAACTAGTATATGCATGTAGGATACAAAGAGAGTCCACCTACAACTGCCACCACTACACCTAAACATAGTACAAAGATAATATATGTCCAAGTTCATGGAAACCACATAAACATAGTACAAAGATAATATCTGTCCAAGTTCACGGAAACAACAGGAATTTTCCCTTTTGTTAATCCACTAGTTTTGTAAATAATTTCAATGTCCCTCCATTTGGCTGCTGAGTAAATCTAGGAAGATAAGATAAAAATATTTTTTAAAGCTTGTTCAGTCCGTTTCAAAAAATTAGAATAACTTAGTCAAGTAAGCCAAATTTTAGCTTACATCCATCCTAATTTCCTTTCTTTTCAGTTTTCACACATTTTCTTGGAGTCAATAAATTATTTATCATTAAAGAAATAAACTTGAAATCAACCCTAAAACAAAACTTCAAAAAGAAAAACAAACTACAAAATATCGGATCCTTCAATGCCTCATTTTTCAAACCTAATGCTTCAGTACACTCTTATGTACAAAAACATAATACATAGAATAACATCTTTGCAAGTTCGTGGGAAACAACAGAAATTTCCCAATTGGTTTTATAAAGGTTGTGTTTGGATCATGGATTTGGGTAGGGATTTGGAAAGGAATTAGGGAAATGTGAATGAAATATAAGCTAAACTTTTTTTTTCCTTTCCCTTTCCAAATCCATAATCCTAACACGGCCAAAGGATTTCAATGTCCATCAACTTGGCTGCAGAGAAAATAGAGAAGAGAAAAGATAAAAAATAACTTTTAAAACTTGTTCAGCTTATTGTTTTCATAAAATTAGAATACCCAATTCAAATAAAAAATATTAGCTTCTCTCTTTCCCAATTTCCTTTTGCCCAAATTTAACACATTTTCTCATGATCAAAAAATCAATCAACCCTAAGAAAACAACTTGAAATCACATTCCAAACAAATATGTAATCAAAAAATTTAAACTACACTATTGGATGCTCTCAACATCTCATCTCTCAAATTTAAAGCTTCATTATCTCAATTCCTCAAAAAATTCAATAACAAAGCAATGACTCTTCCTCCATGAAAACCCAAACAAATTGATTATCATTCAAGTAAAGTTCTACCAATTTGGTACAATTTCCTATGGAGGAAGGAATGGTGCCTGACAATTGATTACCAAATAGCCAAAGAGATGAAATCTCACTCATGTTGCTAACATTCAATGGGATCGAACCGTTAAGTTCGTTCACATCGAGCCAAACAGTATCCAAATGTGGGGTTCGAAACAGAGATTCAGGGATTGAACCTTTCATGAAATTAGAATACAAGTTTATGAATCTCAAATTCAGCAAATTCCCAAAGCTCTCTGGTATATCACCAGTGAAGCTGTTTTGGGAGAGTTCCAAGTATTCAATGAGACTACAATTACCTAATTCAGGAGGGATTGAGCCTGTGAAACCATTGTTGCTGAAATCAATGGACTTCAATTGGGTCAATTCAGCTATCTCAGGTCCTAATCGACCCAATATTTGAAAACCAGAGAGGTTTAAAGAAACTACAAAGTGATTGTGGTGATGATTGGAGTCACATTCGACTCCAACCCATGAACAAGGAGTGGAATCACATTCGACTTCAATTGAATAATTTTGTAGCCCTAAATTCAATTACTCGTATGATAATCAATCGCAAAAATACACAAACAAACTCATAAAAAAAGAAACAAAAAATTAATCAGTATGATGAGAAATGATCAATCTCGTACCTATAGATACAATGCTATACAACAAAAAGCAAGAACGAATCTCTGTACGCCATTCCCAGCCGCTTCGGATCGGATTTCTTGAACGAATCACATTCGACTCCAACCCATGAACGATTCCTGTATCGATCGCCACCGACCCATTAACCCTAGAAATGTTCAGTGTGAAGCGTCCGGCTCCCATGTCCTCCGTGGCCAAGGTGGGTTGAACCGGGTTCACAATCGATTTGAGGGAGCCGAGAGGGTAGTACGAGTGATTGATTCTCTGTGTGTGAGAGAGAGAGAGAGAGACAGGGAGAGAAAGAACCGCGTGAAGAAGTGACACTATGAGTAAGAGAAAAGAAAGGGGAATTGGGGTGTGCCTGTTGCGCCTCGTTTTGAGGTGCATTATTTATTTATTTTTATAATTTGAACTGTTAATTTTATAAGATTTGTTGAGTACTTCATGCCTCTCAAAAATTATATTAATTGGATATTAATAACTATTTGATTGATAACCAAAAAATAACTATTTTTATATTATTTTTCAAAAGAAAAACTTCTTATTTATTTTTTTGGTTATCAATCATATAGTTATTGATATTCAATTAATATGATTTTTGGTAGGCATAAATTAATGAACAAACCCTACAACATGAACGGTTCAGATTATAAAAATAAATCCATAATGCACCAAGTCCAAAGAAAGGAAAGGTAAGGAAAGGAAAGAATTACTTAAGTTATAATTAGAGAAGAGAAAAGAAAAGAAATGACGTGATTGGGATATTTCTTCTTTTTGTTTGAATAAGAAAGAAATAAAAGAAAAGAAATAATTGTGATTTTTTTATTTTTATTTGATTAGATTTTATTAAGAAAAAAAAAATTATTTTATGTTATATTACTAAAATAATTTTTTTATATTTTCAATCATTTTATTTCTTTTATTTTTATAGGGACAAAATTGGTATTATGAAAATAGCGATTTCTTTTCTCTCTTAATCTCGGGTAACTCTATTTACACACCACTCATTTACTCACTGCCCACCGTTTCTCAATTTTTTTTTATTACAATTGTGTCCCTCAATTAAATTACTTTTTTAGACAAATCTTAAACCCTAATTTCTCATACACACCTAAACACCACCACTGCAATCCACAAGCCTTCGGTTTCGAATCAGCCTCGACGCCGCTTCCTCGCCTTTCTTCATTCTTCTTGTGACTCCACCTCTTTCATCCTCAAGCCTCATCACGCCTCCAGTCTTCCACATCATCTTCCTTCTCATTTTTCTTCTTCTTCTTCACCGTGAAAACCCTAATCTGTCCCTCTGTCTTGCGGCGGATCTCTCTCTTTCGTGTAACAGCAAATCTCTCTCTTTATGCGATTTGGGGGTCACGATGGATGAGGGTTGTGGCGAAGGTGCATCACGGCGGTGAGGGGCTGCAATTTTACTAGGAAAACAGATCTTGGTGGCTATGGCTGATGACGACGGTCGGAAGTAGAGAACAAGTGTAGACTTGAATAAAAAAAGGAAAGAGAAGGTGCATGAGGAGGGCTATGACAGGTGGCGAGAGGGAGGCGACAAAAGGGGGTGGCGACCTGAAGGGCTGAGTAGGAATGAGGACTGGAGGCTTGTTGTTGATGGCGACGACAGGGTGGAGTTAAGGTTAGGGTTGTGATTGGAGAAGATGGGGATAGTTTGGGAATATTGAAAAATTGATGGTGTGCATTGAGCGAAAAATAAAAAAATCAAAATTAGATGTGGTGTGAAATTAGTAAATGGTGTGTATTGAAAGAGTTTATGTTGTGTAAATAGAGTCACCCCTTAATCTCTCCATTTTTGAGAAGATTGAAAATGAGACATATAAGAGAAATGAGTTTCTCTTCATTTCTCTCTATTTCTTCCAATTTCTCTCCACTTAGGTTATCTAAACAAATAAGAAAAATACATATCTCTCCATTTCAATATACGGCGACTAAATTTTTTTTTTGTCGCTGAAAGTAAGCAAAGCAACACAAAAAACAGCAGTCCAGGTGTGTTGCTTTGCTTTTGTGATGGTTGGGTGTAAATTGATCTTATGTGTTATGCTCGGATGAGGTGGTTGCTGTCAATTAGGTGATTGCTGTTCTTTTGTTTTTTTTGTTGTTGTTGTGTTGGTCTCTCACCAATTAGGAGGTTGGAGCTTAATTTAGCTCCAAGCTCCTCCTTATTGATGTTGTCTATCATATGTATTCTATATGTAGTTCATCAATAAAATTTTCTTTGGCCGATCAAAAAAAAAAAAAAAAAAAAAAAAAAAAAAAAAAAGTCCTTATAATTTCTTTTGAATTATACTTTGGTCTCTCTAATTTTTTCACATGATCTTTTTTTCGTTCAAAATTTTAACCATTAGTGTTGAATGAACCAGATTACAACAAAATTACAAATGTATGGTTGAAATTATTTAAATTAAAACTAGTGAAATTTCGCTCAAATAAGAGAATCAACATTATAATTTACCCTTGTTGTTTTCATTCAAAAAAGGGATAGAATGAATCTTCAACTTGTACTTTTATAGTAAATTGCAGAAAAAAAATATAAATTGGATCAAGGTCACTAGTTTCAACAATAATTGAACTATGACATTATAATTCTACAGTTTCAACAATATTGGAGTTACTCCGATAGTTTTACTTTGATTTTTCTAATTTTACACGTGATTTTTTTCCATATAAAATATTAACGGCATATAATAAAGAGACCACATTATAACAAAATTTTAAATACATGATTCAAATTGAAATTACAAAAACTCAAGTAACACTTCGATTCGATTAAACTATAAGAAGTAACAGCATAAGTTACCCCCCAAAAAAAAAACAAAAGAAGAAAGAATTGAAAAATCCCACTATGATTTACAAGCAATGTTAAAATGGGTTACCTGTGAAAGGCAGTGGCATTCCAATAAATAGGACCAGTAGGGGTATACTCAGGGTCTTGAGTAGTGTGATGATCTTCTCTTATTGCAGCTCGAGCATATCCTAGACTTGCTTCAAGCCTCTCTAAGTTACTGTACTTCTTCTCTATTCTTACACTCATTGGTGTAGGAACAACAATTTGGGGTCCATTCATGCTATTATTCCATATCCCTTACTTCTTCCCTACCTGTTTTTTATTATGAAACGAATAATTCCACAATAACACACAGAATTTTTCATGGAAATATGCAAAATCAAGAGGGAAAATTATACTCATTTCTCCTAATTATTTAAAAATATATATAATCAATATCACACTTTTGATATAATTATATTGACATTTTTTTTAATAAGGCTAAAATAATCTAAATATAAATAAATATATATCTTAGTAGAAAATATATGTTAATATCAATTTTTTTCATTAACACGACTAAGGAATTATTGATAAAAAATATTTATCTATTATGTGAATTAAAAATTTAGAAGAGACTAATATAATTATGTCAAAAATATGAGACAAATTGTATTATTTTTTTTAACTTAGATGAGGTGAGTGTAATTCACCAAAATAGAATTTAGTTTTTATGTCATGTGCATAGCACATTTCGTGTCGTCTGCGTAATGATACAACACTAATCATGGTGATGTCATGTTAAATAATATACAAAAATTTTAATAGCATAGCATTGCTTTAAAAGTAATTCTTAGAAAAGTGTATGGACGTCAACAAAAACCAACCAGCTAAAAAGACTAATTTGCCACTCATGGTCAATAATTATTAAAGACACAAATTTGTGTGAATTCTTTATTGTATTGATTTGATTATTTCTTTTCATTATAGATTATTTATTTATTTATTTATTTTTTTGTAGTTGTAGCTTTTCTAATTATGTGTTATTGGATTATAATTGTCAAATTTGATGTAATTCTTTTTGTATTCATAATTAATCTTCTTCCAAGAATAAAATAAAATAAAAAAGAAGCACACCAAGGAGCCCCGGACCAAATAAAGACCATGGGTAAAATTGTCTTTTTAAATTTGAAATGGCTTTTTTCTTTTTTTTGTCATTTTTTCTCAATCTTAAAATTAAATGGAGAATTTCTATTATATCATTCAACAGTCATGAAAATGATATTGTGGGGATATATTTTTTAGATACCAACACGTGGCATGGCGACGCCGACGTGTCAACCGAAGTGCCACGTGTCGTGGTAGTTACGCCGAGGTGATCTCGGAGTTGCCGAGGTTATCTCCGAAGATATTGGAATCCGAGATAAGCAGGTAAGGGACAAGAGTCCTAGGACAACGAGGAGACTTAGCCAAGATAAGGATAAAGCTCTTAGGGAGTTTATCTTTATCTCTTGAAGAATCCAAAGTCAGTATTAAATTGGAGTCCATAGAAGTCAGGCTTCTAGTGGGACTAGGATTGAGTAAACTATAAAAGAGAGGCATCCCCATGGGTCTAAGGTACGCAGTTTTATACTGAAGCTTGTGAGTTTAGCACTTGATTATCTTTGAGAGATATACTGACTTGACCGTCGGAGTGCCCCGGGTGGAAGAGCCACTGCCGGAGCCTTTTTCTTTCTGTTACAGGTTGTAAAGCCATCTATTCTGCCGGTGCTCTCCAGCTGATTACTAGGCGGGCAGTGTGGTAAGAAAATTACCTACACAATTTGGCACCGTCTGTGGGAATCTTAGAAGAATAGATGGCCAGTAACGAACAGAGGGAAAACATTGGGGGCAACACTCCTGCTGGGAGTGACAGACCAATTGATCTTGATGTTGAAGGAGACAACCATAATGCAGGAATTCATGACCAAGGCCACGTCAAGAAAGACGTCGGCCAGGAGGGCAACACTTCAAAGAAAACAGACCAAGGCCAGTACTATAACGAAGATAACCTTCAGGTATGGAGGGATAGGTGCCTACGGAGGGATGAGGAAGTAAAAGACTTGGCAAATAATTTGGCGGACCTACAGTCAGTCGTCAACTTCATGATGCAAAATAATGTTATGTAGCCACCATACCCGCTGCAAGATACGCCGATGCCAGCGATTAATACCCAGAAGGGAGGAAGAAAAGCAATCCCCGAAGCCCCTCAGCACACCAGGAGTGGAAGCCACTCTCACCGACCTTCCAAGGAAGTCGGACGAGAGGAAACAAGGCAAGAAGAGTCCCAAAGGACACATCGCATGAAGCATCCAGGGCCTAAAGAACATCGGTATGTTCAAGGGCAAGCACTCTACTTTGACACAACCCATGGAGAAAGATCGAAATGGGCCCACCACGAGGTCGAAAGTAGTGTGCCAAAAAGATTGAAGTCCAGAGATAGCCGAGCTCCAGGTAGGAGTAAGGAAGACTTGAGGGACTACTTCAAAAGGAGGCAGCAGGATGTTGAAGCCG